TAAGTTAGCTTATAAGCTACTTTTTGGCGTACCAAACACGACAACATAAAAAAAGCTCGAAAAATAAGTTAGTTTATCAGTTACCTATGTCGCGTCAAACACACCAAACCTCTTTGGTCAATTTTTGCTAATGTGGCAATTGACTTGGTCAAAATCTATAAAAAGCAAAGGCTAACCAAGAACAAGATGAAGATGAAATGGTGGGATGCAATTTTTTTTCTTTTTGCTGTTGAGTTCCCATGATTGTCATCATCTTTGAAATCAAAACTTATTTTGATCGAGTACAAAAAAAATAAGCATAAACATTCACTAAAATATGGATCTATATCCAAATTAAATATTAAAATCGTGGTATAATTTAGTAGCACACACTTACTCAAAAAGACTACAGGGTTGTTTCTATTTGAGGACAGAATGACCTAATGTATTAAAAAATTTAAGTACTGCCTTTTTCTTCTCAACTTCTTTGAAGTTACAATTGATGAACACTGTGCAAATTGTTTGTCGGAATATAAAGGTTAAAAATGTCATTTAGTCTCATATAGACGGTTTATTCATATATTTCAATCTAGAAAAAAACAATCTTCTAAGAGGAAAATGGAGTTAAAGGTCTTTCATCCCTGAAACTAAATCTTTGGACTATAATGAATGTAACATTTGATAAAAGCTTGCAATCACAATTCATCAAGTCAATTGTAAAACAAATGGGTTAATGTTTGAAATGTTACGTGTGCAATTGAAAACAAAGAGGTGTAGCCATTTTTAGAAAGGAGGAAACAAAAAATTCACTCTTCAGCATTGATTCCAAATATGCGAACCTTGTGCATGTGTGGAAATTTGGCAAGAACTAACACAAAAACTGCAAGGGTGTTTAAGAGCAGCATTGGGTTCTGGTAGTTTGTTGTGTGAGATGCTATCAAGTACCTGCATCCACATATAATCACCATAGACCCCCAATCAAACTACTGGAAGAAGATTAACATGAAGAAAAAAGGAAACTAATAAAAACACAGATTGAAAGGTGAAGAAAATAAAGAAAACTTACAGGACCAAAGGGACAAGAGTAAGAAATTTCCTGTTGCGTGTGAGCTGTTTGCCACTATCAATCTGCTCCCACCATGTCAGCCTGTTGTAGATTCCCTGGTCATCAGCAAAAGGTGTTCCCTTTTTCCAGTGGAAGAAATGGTATGTCATCTGATTGATAAAAACACAAATTAGCAATCATAATATCAGTCCACTCACAAGCATGCATAGAGCATAGGTCAGAAACTTTTTAAACCTACTCTATAGTCTCTCAATAAATAGTGTGCAAATTATGACAGAAATGCATTAGAAGCTCAATGTTGAAAGTTTGTGGCTGATAACTCCATCAAGAGTATCACAGGCACAAATGGATAACTAAGGAATTTCAACAACATCAAGAACACTGTGTAAGGGTACATACATTGATACCAGTTTAAAGTCTTTGCTAAGCTTTTGAATTAAGTTACTCTGCCTGACAATGAATACAGGCTGACACATCAACTTGGAATTTCATCTCCATAGTCTATACACAGCATAGATACACAGCTTATTGATGATATCGATATCATATAGATTATAAAGATGCTTATACATAAGGAAAAGCTATAACCAATTATAATGTGCATATTAGTAGGTGTACAATGAGTTGCAAAGTATGTCAGAAAGTGTTCTTAGCTTATGAACATCTTGAGATGAAGTCCAAACCCTAACGAGAAGTTATTGATCATTTGAATTTTGAAGTACCAAAACACGACCTAAGAAACTCGAGAACATGCTTGCAACTATCAGAAGCACAATATAAACTCTAGTATACACCTAAATCCATCTATACATCAACATCAGTTCTATAACAACAATCAAAACATTGATAAATCGGATCAGGCAAGCTGAACAGAGGATTCGGTCTCTAAACCCTAAATCATGAGCTCATCGAGACAGAGCAAATTGACTCTAACACAATCGTAATCAGGTAATCACGGATGTAAAAGAAGAGAAACAGAAAGACGTACCACAGCGTGAGAGAGATTGACGATGGTCCAAGCCATGCCAGGAGAACAACCGAAAACGGAGAGAACGGCTAGCCAAGCAAAGAAGAGGATGAGTATGTAGGTGATCCAGACGCCGGGGTACGTGAACCACTCCGTATTCCTGTTGAGATCCGTCGGCGGCGCCGCCTGTACATACAAATTCGCCATCTATCGGGAATTAGGTCAAGTTTTGATACAAAGACTGGTGAAATCGTTGTGACTTGTGGATGCTCCATCGTATGTGTAGTTGTTGACGGTCTGCTCTGCGTGTTGAGGGTGATGGGATGATTGCTCGTTGACGATGCATATTATTGACAGCATAAATCTAGTAAAACAAAAGGTAACAATTTATTCGGTGCTTTCAAACATGGAGAATGTGCAAGTAAATCTACATAAATCGATTTCAATTAACATAATTTACGTCCATCACAAAAGCATTTAATAGAAATTACCTATTTGATGTGTTCCGGAAAAATAATATTTATGTCCAGAATTAAAATATTTTTCTATATATTTGGGACTTAAATTTCGGATTAGGAAAAAAAAAAAAAAATTTGGAAATTCAAGAAAAAAAAAATTCAAAATCCGATAAATAATTTTGAATTTCCGAGTAACGTTTTTATTGAAATCTATTAATATATATATATATATATATATATATATATAACAAATGATCTACTCTAATAAATGAAGATTCATTTTGTTATATGTTAATCTCTCATAAGTTTTGATACTTGTTATTTTGTGGTATTTTTTAAATAAATAATATCTACATATCAATTTTTAGTTTTTTTTTTTAATTTTTAAAATTAAAAAACCATATAATACATATATTTATATAAGTAAAATATTAAATGTAATAAATATGATTATAAATTGCAATAAATATATTTGTCCTTCTTTATTTTAAAATTACTTTTAAAAATACTTAATGTTTACATTTTGATATTTAATATTTTTTTAATTTACCAATGTAATAAATGGATGTCACACCTAGTAATTAGATATAATAAGATGTTTAAAATAAATATATTTGGTAAATATTATGACTAATGTTGTAAACGAACACGAACGGAGATTTGTTTATGTTTGTTTATTTAAGTTAGCTGAACAAATCAACGAACACGGACGTATAAATGAATGGTTATTTTTGTTCATATTCGTTCATTTAACAAATTACATTGTTCATATTTGTTCGTTTATATTCGTGAACATGCTAAACAAACATAAAATGAATAAAGATAAACAAACATAACTGAACATATAATATAATAATGTAATCAAACACAATTAAGTATATATTAAAATGAAAGGAACCCATATGAACTAATATAAACGAACGTTCACGAATATAATTGAACAAACAAGATCATTGTTGTTCATGTTCATTCGTTTAACTAAATAAACAGAAATTTGTATTCATGTTCATTCATTTATTAAATAAACGAACTCCCCGTCAAACGGTTCACTGAACGTTCAGTTTCTTTTACAGCCTAATGATGAGAGTGTGAAATATGTAATACTAAAAAAGTCTAACACAATAATTTCACATCATCATTGCCGTGGTGTTTTTTTTTTTCTTTTTCATATTTGGTTTGGGTCAACTTAAAAAGACCATATAGACCATATGATCTTTACTGATTATTTTTATTTTTTTATAGTTTTCAAACCGTTGATGTTAATTTGTTTCTTTTATTGTTACAAAATTAACTAAGGTGCAACCCATTTAAAACTTATGTACAACCACACACGTATACCACAATAACACGTTCAGAATGTTGCGATGACCATGACCATTCTCTCGCAAGTTTAGGTCCTGTTTGATATACATCTGACCGAGTCAAGTCAGACATTTTTGGTTGACTCGGTCAGCTAAAAGTGTTTAATTAGCAAAATTTTGGTGGTTGATTCGGTCAGCAAGGTCTGAGTGAGAAAGAGATGGAAGGAATAAAGGTTTTACAGCACTACCCTTAGGTTTACAAAATCATTTCTTTTCCACTATTCTAGAAGCTTTTTTGGTTATATTTACTCAAATACTTTATATAATGTGTAATGTTGGTTATTATTATTATTATTATTATATCGCATAAAAACAAATAGCATATCAGGGTAAAATAGTCATTTTGCATCGGTCAGCACGTTCAGTCAGATATAAAATCAAACAGTATGATTTCTTACTCAGTAAGAATTTCTTACTCAGACAGACATTTCTCAATCAGCAACTATCAAACGTAGCCTTACTCTCCCTCTCTCTTTCTTCTTCTTCCGTCATCACATTAGGCAAACACCACCGCTCACCTCACCAAAATCAAAATTAAACATAAAACAAAAATAAAACGTGGAACTTAAAAATTGATGAACCACAAAAACCAAACCTAATGCAAACGTCCCATTTCAGAAAAGTTAAATCTAGAAAAAAACCGAAAGCGACACAAACCTAATGTAAACCTAAAGCGACACAAACCTAATGCCTCCCTCTATATGGAATGGAATTTATGTTGATGGCTTGTTAGATAGAACAAAAGACAAGATTCCACCTCTTAAAATGCAAGATTCTACCAAAAGAAGAAGACATCGTGAAACTGGACTCCACCGTGTCTATTTCAATTATGCATAAAATGTTTGTGCTTTTTGAGTTATCAAAATCTGCAACTCTTAAAATGCAAGACTCCACCAATTCGCTTTCTTTATAGTAGAAATAGAAATAAATATACAAAAACTACATATGACTACCATTGAAGCATCTAATTAACAGATCATTTCATGTTTCAAAGTAAATATATATGGCAATAGCATCACCATTAATAAGAAACAATCCAGGAACTCAATAAAAAAAGGCTTCAATTAGCAACAAGAAATTGCAAACAACTCAACAATTAAATCTTTCTTGTAACCTTTTCAACATATCATAAACTTACAACCACAATAACAACCAGTTTCAGTTTGTGATCACAAGCTCACAGTAGTTTTACTTTTACCAACTCTATCCAACCCCTCCAACAATCTTCTTTTGGCAGATTTAGTCCTATAACACCAAATTTCAAAAGCTTCACTCAAATCAGGATACTTCACTTGCTCTTTCTCCCCACTCATCCAGTCTGCTAAAATATCCGCCTGATCATTCGATGGAAGTGCTGATAACAATGCCACAATTGCCCCTTCAATACTTTGACACAAATCATCATCCATTTTGTAAACAAATCCACTCTCATTATCTCCAATAGAATCAAGAACTGGTTTCATTTTTCTGATATATGGAAGCCATGTTTTCACCAACTCCACTCTACGTACAGCTGGCATGATCACATTCCCATATCCAACCGCATCCAAAACCTTCCCTGTTAACTCTATAATCTTCAATTTCAAATCCCACATTCCATTTTTCAAAATCTTGTCATCCATAATCCCAATCACTCTATCTGAAAGGTCAATCCATTGGTCAACAAACTCTTTCATGAGCTCCATTTTGGAAAGAATGTTGCAAATCCATCCAAGATCCGAAAGCAACTGCATTACTTTCTTCTCTGCAACTTCATATTCGGTATCTGAAAGTAAACAAGACAACTCTTTTTCAAATGAAGAAGAAATGTTCATGAGTCCTTTCTTTGACTCTGATTTGACTTCTTCATCTGCTATGACTAAAGGGATCTCTTCATCATCATCACCTAACATGTACTCCAATTGTTCTTGAGCTGAAGTTTTCAACTCATCGCCAAATGGAGCTGATGGAGAAACAATTGAGGTGGCAAAACGGATAGCAGAAAGGAAAACGTTTTTTGTAGAGGAAAAGTCAACAGGGTCAACCCTAGCTAAAATAGGCATTGCTAATGGACCCAGTTTAGGAACCACTTTCAAGATTAATTCTTCTTCTTTATCTTCCCATGGGACAGCTTCTAAATACTGAACACAGCTTTCGATGATTTCGTGACAGTTGAATTCTGTCGCTAATTCAAGAACACCAAGAGCAGAGTGGAAAGAATTCCAAGATTCTAACAGAGAATCTTTGGGAAGATAGAGGCGTTTCAAGAGGTCAACATGGTGTTCATAGTTGGAATCTAAGCAGTATATATCGATAGAATCACCACAATTTGGATCAGAAAGTGTATCTGCAAAATATTTGCTTTTATCTTTGAGGATTGATGAATGCAAATGGAACACTTCGGGTCTTCCTTTGGTGTTTCTTAGACGAATGGTGACATCACTTGTGTTTATGTCGTTAAGCTTGAAGGAGAATAGTTTCCAAGTTTCCATGTGTTGGATAAGTAGCTACCAATTTCATGCTTTCTACAATGAAAATCAAAATGCACCTGTTAAAATTGAAGGATTTGTATTGGTAATTTGGTATTGAAGTTGAAATCATAATGTAGTTTGCTAACTTTGTAACATAAAAAGGGAAAAGAAATGTAAGTGTAGATAATTGGTTCATATATGAGTTAAGAAAGAGATCATACATAGAAATTTCATATACAGCATGAGTGACTCAATTGATAATTAAAGAGAAAGTGAGAAACCAAATCTCACATATAGCAATGTTATAACTAGATAGATTTTTTTTTATTTTTTGCATAAAAAATCTTGCTACTTGTTCTTCAACAGTCATAGGTTGAGTTGCTTGAAGACCACCAACACTTTGTGTCTTGTGATATAACAAGATTCGTTCAAGCAAATGATCGAATACTTAATGGCAAAATTAATGAATATTCAAGGAATTGTCAACTGCAACTTCCTCTTGAATAACAAAAATAGAAAGTGGCACAGACTATTTTTAATGTTTTGAACTTGGCTGAAATCCCAGCAACAATCAAAGACTAGTAAAATATTATGAATAAATATAGATTTGAAACCTTTTTTGGCGATTCAAACCCCTGATTTACGCAATTCAGCAAACACATGGTAGGCAATATAAAATGTTTGTTTAATTATCCCCATCTACTAATTGTTTTTCACTGCACACTAAAACAAAGCACATAGCATCTGATTTCAGCATAACATCAAGAACATATGATCTCAGAAAAATGAACATTTCAAACTTTAATCTTTTCAGAAAGAAAAAAAAAAAAAAAAAGTTCAGCTGTGATTTTCAAGCACATCAGAATAAACCTCATACGATTTCAGCATCAGGAAAAAAAGAACTGACCATCTACATCAAGAAACGAAAATCTTACTTCGGAAGAAAAAAAAAGCCCTAGTATCTTGAACTCGATTTTCAGAGGAAGAAATAAAAGAAAACAAACATCTGATAGTCGATTTTCAGGGGGAATAACATCTTCAACTCGATTTTCAGATGAAAAGAAAAGCAAAACCCTTACCTGCAGAAGCTAGCGGATGCGGGGCTAGTGAGGCTGCCGGAGGTGGAGGGGGAGCGAGCGGTGGCAGCTTTGCAGAATGGAGGGAGGCGGACGCGATATTGAAGATGGAGGAGAAAGGGGTATACGGGAGAAGATTTGGGCGTCGAAGGCTTCTGGTGTTTTTAGGGCATAATTGGTTTTTCTCAGATACGCAAACACATTGAACTTTTAAGAGGTAAATAAAGAATCAAGTGGTATTTTTTCTATGTCTAAAAATTAAGAGGTTGCTTTTTTATTTTTCAATTAAAAAAGGGCCTATTAAACATGAACTTCGAAAAGGAGAATGCTAAAAAGGTGTTGTGGGATGGAACAAGTACGTTGTACTTGTAATATTCAAAGGTTTATATTCACATTATACAATTATATGATCGACACAAGTTCATTGTTGTAACCAACATGTAAACAATCAACACAACTTGAATGAATATGTTGATCACAACCAAGTCCATTTAAGCAATTAAAACAAAATGAACATATATTTTGATCATGTGATCGAGAAAACCCTATTTACGGGTAATTTTTGTAAACGCCTAAACTAACATTGGATACGAAGGTACGATCTTCATCATCAAAGTAAAACGAAAGCTTAAGGAAAGAGAATCCAAATATTCATAAAATGCAAATTTAAACATTGACAAAAACAATCGATATTCGGAGAGCAAGAATTGAATGTTACCTTATTAAAGCATTGATTCCCCAAACATAGTGAACGGGGAAGATTGTTCTAACATTAAAGCAAGAAGGTAATTTTATGAAATGAGTATCAAAGAATGAAGTTGAATCGAGATGGGTTGAAGATAGGTAATCAAATGGATAAACATAAGTGAGCTATAAATTAGGGTTTGGTGTGATGACAATTGCTTTGGTTTGCAGAAGAGATATCCATGTGTCCATGGGAGGACAACAATACACTAGAAAAGGATAAACACTAAAATGACAAAAACAAAATATCCATGCTTTTAAATAGATTATTGGCTAATGCAAGTGTCTTTTTTTGTCTTTGATTGGAAAATTAAGCATTAAACTTTGAGTTGC